CAAGGAATACAGCTATACTTGAAAATACAATTTGCAATGAAATCCAGGGAACCAAGAAGAAGGGAATAAAAGTTCAGTGGGGAATGGAGAAGCTTATAGTAAGTAGTGAACCCATTTCAATGGAAATTAATAATAAATGATTTTAGAAGTTATTGTTACAGAAGAGAATGTTTTATACTTTGATGATATTAAAATCAAAACATATTAACAAAATTTGGACAGAAGAGGAGGAAAGAGGAAGGAAGAGGAAGTGTAAGGCTAATTTATATATTTTTATAACAATGAGAGAACTGATACTGTCTAAAATTGAAACATGTATATGCCAGAAACAAAAAATTACTCTAACCACTGATCTGTAATACTTTCAACAATAAAGATAAATTTAAAATATATATAAAATAAATAAATAAACTCAACTACTTGTTAAAGAAAAATAATAATAAATAAATACAATGTGCAGGTACTTTTAAGCTATATTTCTTTTTCAAAGAAGCATTTACCTTAATTTTAAGAATTTCTTCAATTTTACTTTATCTTCTACTAAATTCAAGTAAAACTAAATTGCATATTTTACTTAAATGTACCATTTATTGTATAGTTTATTTCAGTAAAGCCATTTCTATCTATATATACAACTGCTATTTATTACACACATGTAGCAATATCTGAAATCATATTCACCTGATACAAATAACAATGATCTCTATGTAGTAAAATCTGTGGTGATTTTTGTTTTTATTCTGTGAATTGCTTGAATTTTTTTAAATCTTTATTGCTGAAAGTATTACACATGTCCCCCTTTTTCTCCCTTTGGCCCCTTATAGCCTGCCCCCGTTCCCCACCGCAGGCCTCCACCACCCTGTTATCTGAGTCCATGGGTTATGCATATATGCATGTAAGTTCTTTGGTTGATCTCTTCCCACCCACCACCCTCCTCCACCTTCCCTCTGAGATTCCTCATTCTGTTCCATGCTTCTATGTCTATGTCATGCTTCTATGTCTATTTTGTTCATCAGTTTATTTTCTTAAATAAGTACTGTAAAAAAAAATACAAAGTGGAACTTGTTATACTATCTCTCCTGATAATAATTCTTACGAATAAGACTTTAAATGTTGATGTATAATTCACGATATATTCTTACGTATTTCACTATGCTATGTCCTCATTTCATAGCTAAGAATCTGAGGGTCATAAGGGGAAATAATGGTTCACCCAGTTAGTCACTCAGATCTTCAGAAACCTAACCCAATGCTTTCAGGAAGATTGGCCTTCACTTCTCTTTAGTGAGGTAGTAAGGGAGGACATTATCATAAATGACTCAATAAGAAGTTCCCACTGTTAGAAACAGACTAAAGACTGTGACCATAATGGGGGGTGGGGGGGATGGGAGGTAGGGTTAAACAGCTTTAAAGGTAGATGATCTAACCAGAAAATAAAGGCAGGAAACCAAGCCAGAATCTTTTCCCCAATGATGCTGAATCAAAGGAACAAACAAAATCAAATTTATTGCTCACTTGAATTCCAGCCCTTGTTTTGGCATTATTCAGGGTAACACAACTCTTCGTGCTCAGAAGATCCTGGAAAATTTTCAACTGAACCTATGCTCATTACCTAAAATAATCTTCAGAAAAATTTCAGTAGAGAAACTGAATAAAAAGAAGCATTCTTTATTTCTCCAACCAACTCTGGGCAACTACATTAGGGAGGAAAGAAGATAAGTGTTGCTCAAGTTAGATTTGAATAAGGGCAGGAAATTGCATCTTTTAAAACAGATAAGAGCTTCCATCCGATAAGTACATAATAATAGCTTCTATCATTTGAGTTAACATTTATATTATTTAAAATAAATTCTCATCCTGGTGTCGTTCTATAATTGGCGTGTGACAGAGTACACTTTGAAGCAAATGGAAGTTCAGAAAGCATCTTCTATCTTTATGTTATAAGCAACCTTCAGACTTTCCTAAACAGACAAACTTTGTTCTGTTGCTATGCAACTGATATGCAATACAGTCAATCAGACAGTAAATAAATTATACATTTGACAATGAAAAGTCTTTTCTCCCTGTTTGAGAGTAAGCCACAACTTCCTTTCATGTTATACTAACCACCACAGCCCTCTAAAGCTATGTCACAATCGCCAATATTTTGACAAGATAAACACATGAATGACTAAAACAGCAATGACACAGATGCAGTCAATACCATTTAATTCATTCCTGCAGGCCTGGGAACACGGGCACCCCAAAACTGGTGGAAAGAAGCAAGTTTATCCCACACCCACATTCTTCCTGGTAGCAGAATATAAGCAAATTTAAACAAGAGATTCTGGCAAATGCCGTTGGCAGTCACCCATCACTGCTAGGTCTCAGGCATGCTTCTATGTAAGTGCATAAGAGTGATTTTAGCCATGAGAGAAACACCTGTGAGGATAAGATGTTACAAGCCTGGGGAACTTGTGACTCATGGGCCAGACGGGGACAACAACCATGTTTAACATGACCTGCTCAATATTGACAACATTATTCTCCAACATTGAAAATCTTTATTTCTATTTTGTTTATTTTGTTCATTAGATTCCACATGTGAGTGAAATCGCATGGTATTTGTCTTTCCTTACTGGCTTACTTCACTTAGCATAACACTCTCCACATCTATCCATGCTGTCACAAAAGGTAAGATTTTCTTCTTTTTTTACAGCTGAGCAGTAAGTATTCCATTGGGTCAATGGACCACAGCTTTTTATACTTTCAGGGATCATTTCTATAGCTCATTACTAGCAAATCTGATTTGATGCTCCTTACTCTAGGCTAGACCAGTGGTTCTCAAAGTATGATGCCCAGACAAGCAGTATCAGCCTCACCTGGGACCATGTCAGGCCCCACTCCATACCTGCTCAATCAGAATCTATAGGAGGGGCCCAGAAATCTGCTTCAACATGCCCTCTAGTGACTATAATGCGTCCACAGGCTGAGAAACACTACTCTGGAGCACTACACATGTTGAATGACGTACAAGAAAAGCAGACTTGGCCTGCATTAACTGTCCCGGCCCTACAACCCCTCCCTCAACATATTTCAACAAACTAAAACACAGAAAAATTAATTGGCTTCCTCAAAGCATTTCTATCAACTTCAAGTAAAAAATTCCCCAGAAATGATGTGCAACTCACACACGCCATTCCTGTTTTAGCTACCAGATAGTTTCGGATTCAGTATTGCTACAACTGGACGGGAAACACTCCCCCAAAAGGTAAAGACAACTTTACATCAGTTTGACTATGGAAACAATACAGATCACAAAGTATTCAGTTATATTGCAACTCTGAAGAAAAAAAAAATGGAAATCTACATTCCAGGAGGGAGCATGGCTCTCAGAGGGCCATAAAAGCATCTAGAAATTCACAAATTAAGACCATTAATCCTATTTTCATGTAACTTGCATAAAATGTACTTAAAAGACCATATGTGGAGCTCCATTTGCTGGGAAGTTACCAGCTTTTTAGCACGTCACCATCCAACCACATACTCCAGTGTAACTAGAGTGAGTGTTCTTTGCCAACAGAAAAGTCTTTCTAAATCAGTTGGGGAAATCAGAGGTGCTTATTATATACCTATTAATCTATTAATATTACTTTAAAAAGCATGAAATAGTTACATGATATGACAGTAATATTCCTTCTTTCTGCTTGAACTAAACATGAAGAGGTAACTATTTCTTTTTAGAAGATTAAAGAATTCTATTTTATCAGATTTAAATATAATTTCAGAACAAAAGATCAATGTTTGTGTCCATCATAGTATTTATGAAATTTCTAGAATTTAAAGAAAGAAAGACAAAGAAAGTGAGATCCTTAATAATCCTATATAATAAAAGCCCAGCGACCGAATGGTGGAATGACCAGAACGACCAGTCGACCAGTCGCTATGATGTGCAGTGACCACCAAGAGGCAGATACTCAGTGCAGGAACTGCCCCCTGGTGGTCAGTGTGCTCCCACAGTGGGAGCACCGCTGGGCTGACCGGGATGAGTGGTGCTCCCACAGCGGGCCGATCCCCACAGGCCACGCCCCACACCAGTGCACGAATCCCATGCACCAGGCCTCCAGTAAAACAATAAGACATAATATAATGATCTTATTTTAAGGCAGTGTTTTTCTTATTTGTTTCACTCAGTACTTAACAGTGGTTGAACAACCAGGGAGTTGGTGAAAAATCAATCTCAAAATTACACTGACTACCAAGTCCACCTATAATCCATCATATGACTGGTTTGGGGATAAATCTAAAAGTTGGCCTCTGTGGGCAACCAGTGAAGCTGCACAGGACTCCACACTAAAAAAGGGGCCTCATGCCTGGGTTTAATGTTCTATGGCTGTTGGCTTAAAATTCTTAATAATTTCATCTTTGAGTTCATTTTTTATAATGAACCAAAGAGATAAGCTGGGGACCTGGAGCCTAGGTTCACACATTGTCTCATCCCCCACCATCTCCTCACCTCCCCTGAATGAATCCTTGGCTTCTATCTCACCCAGTGACAAGGTAGAGTTGGGGCAGGTCACAGGATCGTGTCCCAGGCACCTGTGAGGGTCTGCACTCGCTCTGTGCATATCCCCGTGCCCAAGGAAAGGTGGCATTAAATGGCATATAAAAGATACCATGACAGATTAAGAGAAAAACTGTAGAAGAAAAGAAAAGCTTTTTCTTACTTTTTGAACAAGGGGCTGACATTTTCATTGGGCATGATCCTCACAAATAATGTAGCTAGGTTTGCACACGGTTGTGATGGAAAGAAGCGAGAGAATAAAGAAGAGGAACTAGACAGTATGAGAAATAATGCAGCATGCATGGAGTAATAGGGAACCAATTAGCATTAAGAAAGTAACATGGTTAAATTCCATATTGTTGCAAATGGGCCAGATATACTCTTTTCAAAATAATGTTTTATTTCTTTCTGGTTAGAAAGCAATGTATGTCACAAAATATTCAGGTATATTCAGACACTGAAGATGGGAATGAAAATCTACATTCAAAGAAGTAGCACAGCTCAGGGTATTAAAAAAGTACCTAGAAAATCACAAATTACCACCCACTCATCCCAATTCTATCAAGTGCTACCTCGTCAGTGTTGTGAATCCAAGTCTCCCAGGCATGTTGAACCTTTGGAACCTGAGCTTATAATTTAAGAACAGTGTTTTATGGGTATCTAAACACAATGCAGGCTAATAAACAGTGTGATCATTATCTTTTCACCTCAGCATTAGCTACCTTCAAGTTTACCAAAGGATATCTTTTGTTTTTCAGCACGTTAGCCTGCCAAGGGATGACGTTGTCTAAACACATTTTCAATGTTTTCTTTTTAACAGTTAATATATTTCCAGGATGCAGGTCCATTTCTTTCTAAAAGGTTCCTAGGACACCCATTGAAAAGTCAAAAGCAATGAACTAAAAGGGATTGCTATTTTGTTGGAGAAGAACGACACCCTTTGTATCGAAGCGGGGAATTACAGACTGTGGTCACCCTCTGCACAGTGTCTCTTTGTCAAGTAATACATGCTGGAAAAAAAATAATACAGATGGGAAAATATTGTGCACTGTCAGATCTTGGAAAGGGCCAAAGGATTTTTCCTCACCAATGTCTTGTCGATGGCTTTCACATTCTGGCACCCTGAAAAAATAATGCATACATTTAATATGAAATGAATGCAATAATAATCAGGCAGGTAATCGTTTTCCCAAGGAATGTAAAACTTGACAAATGTAAGGTTTATGATTCAAGGTAGCCTTGCCAAATCTTATGTGGCATGAGACCATTTTTATTACCTAAACAGTCCTTAACACAAAATGACTGGCACATATTTTTATTAACACAAAGAGTATATTCTTTCTGCCACATTTAATAAAGAGCCAGTGGCTGAAAGCTCTCTTTTAGGATGTGTCTGTAGCAAATTAAAATGCAGAGTGAGGATTCACAGAATGGCATTCTTCTCACTGAGGCTGTGTCCACACAGACTCAGCACAGTAGTGAGTAGACCATTGATCTTGGGGAGTCTATCTACATAGACAATCAGGGTGATACGGATCACAGAAAAAGAAGCGCTCATTATCTTCAAAAGTTGGGGATTTGATAATTAACTCAAGGTCATTCTTTGCATGTAGAGGTCCATCTGAGTCAAATCCAAAACAGTTCCTAGTAATAATGCTGCTTATTTATTTATTCGTTCATTCTGCAAATATTGTTTATGTGCCAGGCACTGCTCTACACACTAGAAATACTGCAGTGAAGACTATAGACAAAGATCACTGCCTTGTGCTTCTTACATTCTAGAGAGGAAAGAAATGCTACATAATGCATATAACTTAAAAAATAAATCATAAGATAGATGATCTATAGAAGGTGATGGGTGCTATGATAAAATAATGAAAGAATGATAGGGAAAGAAAACTGGAAGCTGAGTGGGTGGGCAGAGAGCAAGTTGCCATTTTAAATAGGGTGGTCAGGATGGGGCCCTTTGAGAAAGTGCAGTGTAAGTGTGACTTGAAGGGTGTGAAGGAATCAACCATGTACATATCTGGGGGAAGAGCCCCAAGGCTGAAACATGTCTGGCATAGACAAGGAACAGCCGGGAGATAAACGAACCCTGGGCAGAATAAGCAATGGTGACAATAGCAGGAGTTGAGGTCAGAGAGGTGAGAGAGGTCAAACCGCATAGGGCCTTATACACCATTGGCCTTTACTCTGAATAAACCCGGAACAGGTGGGCATTCTGTTGAGAAGAGTGACATGATTTGAAGTAATCTGACTACTGTGATCAGAATGGGCTTGAAGGAAGATGTAGGCAAGGATAGACAGACAGACATGTAAGTCGCAAGGGGAGAGAAATGATGGGAAGGATACACAGAGAGACTATCGGAATATCCAAGGTGAAGAGAGATGATGATGGCTCTGGCCAGAGTGATGGCAGTGGAGGTGGTAGGTGAGGTCAGATTCTGATTATATTTTTCAGATGGAGCCTCTGCAGATGTAAGGGTGTGAGGCAAAAGAAAAGTCAAGAATGACTTGAGATTTTTCATCTGAGTACCTGAAACAATGGTGATAATGCGAACTGAGATTGAAGAGTCTGCAGGTGAAGCAAGTTTTAATAGGAAAAGTTAGCAGTTTAGTTTTGAACAGGTAGAGTCTGAGATGCCACTTAGACATCCAAGTACAGGTGTTGCCTCACCAGTTAGATTTATTGTTCATGTGCTATGAAGTGAGGAAGAGTATGATGTAGCATTCACCCTGAATGTACTCATCATTACCCAAATATCCCGAAAAGACTTTCATAGAGGCTAAGTGAGTGTTACAGACTGTGCACTCTGCAGAGTTCCTTAGTTCAGAGGGTGCTTGGCACTAGAGTTATAAATATGGAGCTGACTTAAATTTAATTACAGCCCAAAATAATTCCATCTCCTTACTCCTCAAATTCACTTCTCCCCACCAAGGAGCCTTGCCTTAATGACCACTGGAAGAAAAGAAAGTTGTAGCCCAACCAGTGTAGCTCAGTGATTGAGTGTTGACCTATGAACCAGGAGGTCACAGTTCAATTTCTGGTCAGGACACATGCCCGGGTTGCGGGCTCGATCCCCAATGTGGGATGTGCAGGAGGCAGCCAATCAATGATTCTCTCTCATCATTGATGTTTCTATCTCTCTCTCCCCCTCCCTTTCTCTCTGAAATCAATAAAAAGATACTTATAAAAAAAAGTTGTAAATTGCAAATACAAATCTTACCACTCAGAGCCATGGCCAACCGGAATTCTTCCTTTAGTATCTCAAGGACATCTTGAACACCTTTCTCTCCCTAAACAAGGAAGAGAGACAGATTTTTTGGGTAAGTCATTCTGGCTTGTTTCATGTACTTATTTCACTGTTGAGTTATCCTGTTTTATGTATTTATTTATTTGTCCTCCAATTACCTTGGAAGCCAAACCCCAAATGATTGGTCTCCCCACAAACACAGCCTTGGCTCCCAGGGCCAGAGCTTTCAGAACATCAGTGCCTTTCCGGACACCCCCATCCAGGAAGACTTCCACCTTCTCTTCAACGGCCTCCACGATTTCGGGCAGAGCATCAATCTGTGGAAAGAAGAGGTCAATTATGAGACAATACTCTACATGATGCACTGTTACCCCACTCAACACCCACAGCCCACTGACCATCTGACTAGGGCTCAGAGTAAAAGAAGCTAAGTAGATTTGGAGTCAACAGTAAAGTCCCCCTGAAATAAAAGTGGTGCAAATGCTAGTAACTAAAACAAATAAACAACAAACAAAAACACAACAACAACAAACTACATTTGGAATTGGGTGGTTTCTTTTCTTTCAGAAACCACAATATTTTTTCTGTTCCTGATATTCAAATTCAAAGATCATGATTTTATTTTATTTTTGTATTGATTTTTATAGAGATAAAAGAAGGGAGAGAGAGAGAATTCAATTTTTGCTGTTCCACCTATTTATGCATGCATCAGTATATTCTTGTATGTGCCCTGACTGGGATCAAACCCAAAACATTGGAGTATTGGAATGATGCTCTAACCAACTGAGCTACTTGTTTAGGGCCAAAAATCATGATTTTTAAAAATATAAACCTAATTTTATTTTATTATTATTTTAAAATATATTTTTATTGATTTCAGAGAGGAAGGGAAAGGGAGATATAGAAACATCAATGATGAGAGAGAACCACTGACCAGCTGCCCCCACCCCCACCCTCCTGCACACCCCACACTGGGGCCTGAGCCCCACAACTCTGGTGTGTGCCCTGACTGGGCACCAAACTGTGACCTCCCAGTTCATAGGTCTCCATGAAAAAATAAATAAGTAAATAAATAAATTATTTTATTAAATAATTAGAGGCCCAGTGCACAAATCCCTCAGCCTGGCCTGCACCCTTCAATCCAGGACCCCTCAGGGGATGTCAGAAACCGGCAGTCCGACATCCCCCAAGGGATGTAGTAGTGCACGAAGTGGCAGGCAGCTGGGGAGGACCCCGAGCCCGGGCCAGGCGATCCTGGCCTCGCTGCACCTGCTGCTGCTGCTCGGTAGTGCTGTCATGGAGGTGGGAGAGGCTTGTGCCATCACAGCTGTGCTTGCCAGCCGTGAGCCTGGCGTCTGACACCTGGCGGTCAGCTGAGCAGTGCTCCCGCTGTGGGAGCACACTGACCACCAGGGAGCAGCTCCTGCATTGAGCGTCTGCCCCCTGGTCAGTGTGTGTCATAGCGACCAGTCTTTTGGTCATTTGGTTGTTCAGTTGCTTAGGCTTTTACATATACTAGAGGCCCAGTGCACGAAATTTGTGCACAGGTAGGGTCCCTAGGCCTGGCCTGCAATCAGGGCCCATCATGTTCTCCAGCTCCTACCTCCCATCTCCTCCTCACTCGCCACCCGCAACCTGGCACAACGTGGTATCCCGCTAGCTTCCGGCCTCTCAACTTCCTCCTATCCTCGCTGCTCAAGCGCCTATGCTCACTGTCTCTCCGCCTCCTCCATGTTCTGCATCATCCCTGGTCAGCGCATGTTATAGTGAGTCAGTCCTTGTTATAGCGACCCGGTAGAACTAGTCGAACTCCCTAGGGGACACGTTTTAGCCTTTTATATATATAGAAGATAGATGTATGTGTATATGTGTGTGTGTGTGTGTGTGTGTGTGTGTGTGTGTGTATTTAATTCTCACCCTAGGATATTTTTCAATTGATTTTTAGAAAGAGTAGAAGGGAGAGGGAGAGACAGAGAGAGAAGCATTGATGTGGCAGAGACACATCGATTGGTTGCCTCCCACATGCGCCCCGACCAGGGCCTGGGATTGAGCCTGCAACCGAGGTATGTGCCCTTGATGGGAATCAAATCTGGGATCCTTCAGTTCGTAGGCAGATGCTTTATCCACTGAGCTAATTGGCTTGGGTGAAAATATCTTTCTTGCTTTTAAAGGGATATGACCACATGCACCTTGAAGGTCCTCATCTTGATTGGCAATTGATAATGAGCTTATATCATCACTAGAGAACACAAGATCCTCATAGAGGTTGATCTGGTAAATTGCATCATTGTTCCGGATCTTTCACACCACTCTGAACCCACTTATTTTTCAAGGCAACTTTGCAATTTCCCACTAAAAAGAAAAAACTAATTCAGTGCACTTGCCCAGTCCTTGATGTTGGCCTTGGGCTTGCAACCTTCTTTGACAAATAACATGTAAGGTGGAGAGTGTCATTTCTGGGCATAGGCCTTAAACACCCTCGTGGGTCTCAACTTTCTCTTGCACCTGTGCCATTTGCCATGAGAGGAGAATCCCCTGGTCACTCCTTCCCCCTTTGGCCCCAGGATAAATATTCAGGAAGCAGAGCTAGCCCAGCCAAACTCAACTGGACCTGAAACTGGGAGCACAGTCACCTAACCAGTACCAAGTCCATATCAGCAGACCTGCAGTTCACACAGAGTTTCATGGGAATAAATTACTGTTGGTTTAAAACACTGAATTTGGAATCTTGTTTTATAGCATCACGTGCCAATAGTGAATATAGTTGGCTAATCGCCAATATAGTTCATAGCTAATAGCTGACACTGTCAGCTACTTTGATCTAAATCTTTGCACTTGGGAATGGAAACAATTCCCAAGGTGACCTGCAGGTCAAAATCTATAGAAATTATTCACATTCATACCAACATATTTAAATCTAAAGTTAAATCCAATCCCTATTTAAAATGCATGCTGAAAAAGCTACCATGCATTCAAGTGCAGTTTTTTCTCAAAATAATTGTGCTGAAATCACTCAGAAGTTTTTCCCACTTCACCCCTAAAATTTTAGAGGCAAAACTTAAAAAGAGTTTTATGTAAAAGGCTGAAGACCAAACCCGGCAACAGATTTGGAGGAAGTGAAGGCAACATTTGGCGTGCGGCCCCTAAATGTTTGGCAAGTACTGTGATTTTCCTCTTTTCCCTTTTGGCTTCTCTGCCTTGCCAAACATGCTTTGGATCCATTTACATATGCCCCTTTACCTATACATAGTCCTCCTTTTACAGTCAGGCAAGTTACATCAACATAGAAATGCTACAATTTCCAAGGGATGATGCAAGCTATAATTAAGCATATTTCCCCATTTGAAACCAGAACCAAAGAATAATATTAGCTAGCTCGGGTTCAATACACATTTTCAAAGTCACGCAACTCAAGTCTCTTTAGGTTATTTCCAATGCCCGGCCTGGCCTAAAAGGAAACTGTTACGGATAATTTAAATGTGAATCCTGGGTTATAAAAAGGAACCCAGATTGGTGTTGCATGTGTCTGTGGACAAGTCTGTTCTATTCGTTTGCTGAGGATTTCTATCCTCCTCCTCCCTTTTTTCCCCCTTTATTGCAATTTTACTGAGTATTTCAGAGAATAATTCTGATCAGGGGAGATTAAATAAATAAATATCGTAGACAAATCCACTATTTTATGACTCTGTTATGTTTCCTTCTTTTCAGCTTGCTACACATCTAAGAGACCATTCATTTCAGCTTTTCTTTCCTTAGTGATTCTTTAGACAACTAGTTGTGGCCTTAACTCCAGTGGGTTTAATATACAGAAAAAAATATGGTAAATGCCAATGTACTATTGCTCACTTACCCATCCATTCATCGACTTATCAAACACTTTATTGAGGACCTGGTATATTCAAGTCACTATGCCGGGTGGCTTAAAGAGTCTGAAAAGAAAATCTCAGAGATGCAAGAAGAATCCCACATGGATCCAAAGGACAGGGACACCTCTTTGCCGTTCCCACTCAAGCCACACTCTCCCAAGGATGCTCCTGGTCCTCCAGAACTCCCACTCACGGGGAGCTCTCGCCTTTCTCCCTTCCTGTTGCCTCCATTATTATATCCCTAATTTCTAACATTTTAGGGTTGGAACCCTTTCAAGGTTTCAAACCAAAGCAATTGAACATAAACAAAAGCAAGCAAAACCAGAGTTGAAAAACAAAGGAGTCCAGGCCACTGCCCACAAATTCTTCCCTGACTCTCTGGCTTGCCCATCACACTGTGCCAGGCATCCCTGGGGAGTTTCTATTAAGCCCACTTAGAAAATCATTGGCCCACATAGGCAACCCCTGCTTACTTGCAATTGCAAAAATGTCTTCGTTTCCTTGCAATGTGACATTTCACCTCCTCCCATCACAGGGGAGAAATATGACCAGAAGAGTCTATTTCCTTCCCCCCTTGAGTTTAAACTAGCCTTTGTGACCAACACAATAGGAGAGAAGCGACAATATGTCTGTTCTAAGCCTAGGTCCCAAGAGGCCTTGCGTGCTTGCACTTAATCTCAGATGTCTGCCACCTCATGAGAACCGGCTCAGCTAATGTGCTAGATGTTAGACAATTAAAAGCTGTTCCTGCTGATGTCAGCCTACACCAGCCTGTCCAAGTAGACCCAGCAGCTGACCACAGATGCATTAGGAGTGAGCCCAGCCAACACCAGAATAACCTCCCAGACCAGCGGTTCTCAACTTGTGGGTCGCGACCCCTTTGGCGGTCAACGACCCTTTCACAGGGGTCGCCTAAGACCATCCTGCATATCAGATATTTACATTACGATTCATAACAGTAACAACATTACAGTTATGAAGTAGCAACGAAAATAATTTTATGGTTGGGTCACAACATGAGGAACTGTATTTAAAGGGCCAGAAGGTTGAGAACCACTGTCCCAGACAATCTCAGATTGAATTGCCAACTCACAAAATTGTGACATAAGTAAATGGCTATGGAATTTTGGCCAGTAAGTTACACAGCAAAAGCTAGCTAATACATCAAGTGTTTCTCAAAGATAGAATTGCATGAATCTCTTTTAAAAGGAAAATAAAATATTTTAGATCTCATAGAAGAGCCCAAGGAATCAAGAAACACTTGACTTAACAACCCAAATACTTATTTTAAGAAAATCTTCTGCAGTTTAAAATTTTCATTAGAAAAGAATGGCATATTCATAAGTTTAAAGATGGGTCCCATTAGCATCAAAACAAAAATTGAAAAGAAATATTGCTGCTATGGTTCAATGGCTCGAGAGAATCTACCTTTAAACCCCAATTTGCGATGT